AGCAGCTTTGATTCGGTCGGCTCGATATTTACAAGGGTTGCGGCGTTATCATAATCGCAATGTTCGATCCCGTGCCTTTCTAGTCGGCGACCTGGTTTTGAGGAAAATTCAAACTACACGGGATCGGCACAAGTTATCTCCTTTATGGGAGGGGCCATTTATCATCTCTGAAGTCACCCGACCAGGTTCCTACCGACTCAAGCGCGAAGACGGTACTCTCGTCGACAACTCTTGGAACATTGAACATCTTCGTCGTTTCTATGCTTAAGCTTATCATTGTATTTCCCTATCTTGACTGTCAACATCAAGTTTTCTTCTTGCCGTTGTCAGTCGGGGGCTATCATCATAATAATGGAGTGTGATTTTTTATCAATTTAATTTGCTTACTTGGTCTATCATTGCCTTGTTTGATTTTTTCTACTTAGTCTGCGAGGACTGAAAGTTTTTAATAGCTTCTTTGGGTTTTAGGCTCAACAAAGCTTGATAAAAGCTTTTAAGAAATCAAAGACTTGGCTAGAACTATCAAGCACAGCATAAATACACCAGTATTGTACAAATTGAGCCTCCATTTGCTACATTTACACTCAGTCAGAATCAGTCCTTTCATCATCAGAGTTATTATTGCTCGGCTGAAGGTCGTTGTTGCGGAATTGCTCTACAACATCACTTGCAATCTTGTCAGCCGCACTTTGAGCATTACTGATAAGATCAAGAGCAGCTTCTTCACTTGTCCCGTCTGCAAAGCCATCAATGGTATCAATTTCGATTCTCGGGTACAAGGATTTGGTCATTGCCAATGCCATGCTAGCTCCCATACTTCCAGCTTTCTTGATGTTCTTGAAGTACACATCCGGTGCAACTCTTAGCTTGTCAAAGATCTCGGTTGCATCAAGTGCACTCGGACCACTGTTATTAAGAAACATAGCTTGGACAAGTGGTGTAGCGACATTGGCGACTTCATCTCTTGCTCCTTCAAGCTTCTTGATCTTACCAACCAGGACATCAAACTGAGCTTGAGATTTGATTTTACGGTCTACAAAACACATTTATAATAAGAATCTGCTGCCTTACAGAGAGGGCAGTTCAAATTGTCAGCTGGCAGTACCTTCAACCTCCTTCAAGGCTGAGTCCCTTTCCGCAGCCAGTTCTACCTTGTCTTTTTTCAAGGCTTCTATTTGCTTCTCCATTTGAGTCATCCTGGTGGCTTGCGCTGTTTAAAATCCAAATGTTTGAGGATCCAGTTATGACAGCACAAATGGGACAGATCTAGAGATTACCTTTTGATGAACCACTCAGCTCGAAGTTGGAGTCCTGGAGCTGTGCAATTCGCTCCCTTAATTCCTTCTCCGTTTTCTTGGCATGCTCCTTAGCCTCGTGTAGCTGTTCCCTAACGGCTTCAAGAGTTCCCAAATGTGGAACCAGCTTTTCTAAGGTTGCAGTCTTGGCTTCATTACGAAGATGGATTCTCTGCACGGTGGTTCAGGGATTAGTTTTGCTAACAAAAAAACAAAGTCATCAAAGGCAATCACCTAGAAGACTTACATTCACAATGCGAGTGGCTTCTCCAAGTACTTTCTTCAGCTGGCACACTTCCTCGTCTTCTTTTTGGCGATTTATAACAATGCCGGAAACTTGAGAGTTCTCGTCCCACCATTTGAGTAAGATAGGAGGACGAGAGTCATTAGCTGCCTTTATGCGGAGAATTTCTTCTTCGTCGCCGCCTAGTGGACCTGATGTATTCCCAAGATATTAGACGAACAAGCTGGAGTTATTCAGAGTGGCATCACTTGAGAAGTTGAGTTACCTGAGGATGTGCCTGGCTGAGCGTGAGGGGATCCTTGCTCTTTATCTGGAGACCCAATCACTGAGTCATTACCAACTTTTGGTCCTTGAGAAGTTGTCTGCGCTTCAGCTTCAGGAATCTCTTGATTTAGATCTACATCCGACTGGTTTCCAGTCGGGGGCTCTCGGGTTGTTGCAGTTTCAGTTGCTGCCGACTGGTTTCCAGTCGGCGGCTGATCACTCGGATTGGCCTTGTCGTCCGAAGCTTGGGCGCCAGTCGGCTGACTTTCGGCAGTCGGCTGGCTTTCGGCATTCGGCTGATTTTCGGCAGTCGGCTCAGCGTCTTTGGATAAATTTGGCTCTGTCACAGCCGGATCAGGATCTTTTCCAGTTGGATCTATGTCGGATGGTTTCCTGCAAAGTGTCCTTTTGACATTTAGCATAATTTCTATAAGAGAAGCATGCCGAAATAAAATGGTATCGAGAGGTTTATACCTGGAAGATGTTCTAATCTTTGGAATTTGACGGCCAGCCAGTTTTTTCCCGGGCATGGTATGCTTTGGGAGTTTGTTGGGAGTGCCCTTGTCCCCAGATTTGTTGCTGTCATCGCCCTCATCGTCATTAAGCACCAGCTTTCTCTTGCGAGGACCTGTCTGCCCAGCCGGTTTGGAGGTTTGAGGTTGTGGGTCTGACCTGATTGTCGGCCCTCCACTTCCCTGAACGGTGTGCTGACGAGGTGACCGGCGCTGAGTGATTGGGGGATCAGATTTCATCAATGCATATTCCTAAATGAGATGCTTCCACGGTTAATTAATTCAACATGAAGACAAGATAATGTTTTGGTCATAGATTGAAGATTTCAGATGCATACCTGCGGAGGCGGATTGAATGCATTATATGGCACAACTGGCAGCTGATGTGAGTAGCTGACGACGATGGCATTTGAGAAGATTTTATACATTCTCTCCTTCATGATTTTGAAATCCAGAGAGTCTGGTTCTTCGCGATTAGGATCATGCTTGCCGTCAAACTCAAAAGCTGTACGGGATCTTTCTTTAATTGGCGCCAGTCGGCATTTGATGAAATGCCGAGTGATCTGCTCTCCTTGCAAGCCTTGTTCTTTGAGTTTTAACATGCGATCCAACAATTCCAAAGCTTGGGCAGCTTCATCTCCGATTGGAAGAGAGTTCCAAGTATCTTGGTACACCGGAGGAAGACAAGAATACTCGGGAAGAGCAGGCTCAGGATTCTGAACATAAAACCAGTTCGCATGCCACCCTTTGTTTGAGGTCTTGAAGGGCATAGAGAAGTACTTCTGACTCAGAGTTCCCCTCAACTGAAATCCTGCCCCTCCGACTACACATGGCTTATTCTTGTTCGGTTGGGGCTTGAGAAAGAAGATCCGGCAAAACAGAGCGAAGTGGGGCCTAATTCCCAAAAAGGCTTCACAAACATGGATGAAATTGGCGATATGGACTATGGAATTCGGGTTTAGGTGATGCAAGCTGATTCCATAGAAGCTTAATATCCCGCGGAAAAATTTCGAGGTCGGAAGGGCGAAGCCGCCATAGAAGAAATGAGAGAAGACCACAATCTCATGTGTATCGGGGGTCGGAAAAGTCTCACCGCACGCTGGCCGCCACCCGATGATCTCCTTGGCAGGGAGAACGCCGTGCGCCACCATCTCCTTCAGGTTCTCTTCCGTTACGTCGGATGGCGCCCACTGGCCTTCAAAGCTTTCTTTTTCCTCCGCCATCGATTTTCCCCGAATGCGCTGATTTGATTCGAGGGATGGCTTGGGAGAGGTGAGGAATTGAGGCGGTGGATCACGGGAAGGATTTTGATGCATTTTTTCGAAGGTGGATTTGAGTGGAGTGGTGAACCCTAGTTCGCCGGCGCAGTTCTGCACTGTAGCAAGGAGTGGGGAAAATGGCGAGAGTTCCGGCGGGGGAGACGAAGCGTTGCTTGGATCTCGGGATTTCTTGTTAAGGGTATCGGAGGAGCAAATGGGCCTAGGCCTGAACAGTACTTCAGCCCAATACTTTTAACAGCGTGGCCCATTGTGTTCCTTAGGGACTTAGGCATATTTTGCTTTGGCAATATTATGCGCACAATAGTGTTGCCCAATGCTGATAAAATCCTTTTTATGCGGTCATATAATTCTTTGGAATTATTGCAATGCAAATTAAAAGGTGCCCGACAGAAAGGTGTTATACTGCTTTTTGTTAGCTTTATTAGGCTACAAAAGCTGTCTGGGTTAATTTGGAATGACTTGTTTTTATCATAGTCACTTCCTTGGTATGTTATATACCTATTTTCATTATGGTAAATAGTCATGGCCCAGGCTATTAGACTTATTCATTACCATAATTTTTATAATACTTGGTGGGTAATCTTTAGAGTTTTATATTCGGATGCCTGTCCAGTGTGTTCATTCGTGAACCTTTTAGAGTGTAAACCACTCGGACTCTTTTCATTATGGCTAAAAAGCAGTCGGCTAGCATGCCTATCTAGGCGCCGTGTATGCTTTTGTCATATGATGCACAATTGTGTTATTATTTTGTTTCTCAACTATATGTTTAGTTCGTTAACTAATCACATAGTTGGGGGCTACACCTAATTAGGTGCATCTATTCGATGCACCATATTTTTATCTTTTCGCCCTTTACAGTCTTCGTCTTCGCTACTCGGCAGGTCTTGGCATGATAAGTTTTGAAGCACTCGGATTATTATCTTTGAGAAGGCTATGATGGTTGACTGCAAAGGTCTCGGGGGCTACTGTGGAGATTATGGATATCCCATATCTACACGGCGATGATATTTGGACTGGATATAGGATACCGAATATAGATAGAATATCTTATGTGTATCCTGGGTTTGTTTCTTAACTTGTACATCAAGGAAACACCTTGAGACTTAGTCGGTCACGACTGTATTTTATCTGTATTTACATATTCCGTTAGGAATATAGATTATCTTTTGTAACACGGACTCTTTCCCATATATAAGGGGGGTCCGGGTGCCTCTAGGGGCGGAGGTTGGATTTTCTCCAAATCATACAATCAATAACACACTCGGCGGATTCATCCCCGGACAGGAGTAGGGTATTACTTCTTTTGTAAGAAGGCCTGAACCTGTATAAATCCTTTGTCTCCAAACCCATACACTTTCCTAGCTTGATAGCCACCCCCTTTTATTATTGCCGAAATCTAGTTTCGACAGGTCGGTTCCGTTGTAGTTGAGGTCGAGCGGGAACGGTGGCTGGTGCGCCTGATTTCGCCTTGGGTCGTACAGCGACGACAGCCTGCAGTTGGCGTAGATCGCCGGGAACGACATGCCGGCCGGCGCGTCCCAGTTCCAGAACGGCAGCGCAAACGTCTCGTCGCCGATGAGCTTGCCCAGTATTCTCTCGTGGAAGTACAGGTACATCCTGCACGTTCATACGCATGGGTCCAGTGCATGCAGAGAATCACAGCCACATCAGCACATATAGCTGGATGCCCGTACACGAACCAGACGAGACGGGATGTATATTTGGGGAAAGTGTCTTTATTAGCCTTTTGAGGGGTATCCCTTCTTTTTCATGTCATTTAATTTAATATATAGTTAACAGAAAATTTAAAAAATAAGATAAATTAACGTGAGATATACTCAAAAGGCTAATATACCCCTCAACTTCTACATTTTACAACAGAAAATTTTAAAAATAAGATAAATTAACATTAGCTGGAGTATTACTTTTTTATATAAGTTCAAACACAACTTCTATATTTTACAACAGAAAAAAAAATAAAGGTGCGGATGTAAGTTGACTAGTTTTAATAATTTATCTCTCTCTTTTTTTTACAATTTGTAGATTTCAAATTTGAGCTTATGTGTTAATTTGTGAAATGATATATCTCATATTTTCTTATTAATTATTTTAGAAAATTTATAGCTATTTACTAGTAAGTGGTAAGTGGTATGTAAGAATCATCGACGGACGTCTCCGTATATACCTCCTCCGTCTAATAAAATATCAATCCAACCTACGAATCTGGACACATGTGTATGTGTCTAGTTTCGTAGCTAGAAATTTGTTTTTTTGGGACGGAGTATAATGTTGTTGTCACGTACCGTACCTATGCCATGGAAAAAAGAACCAGCAGCTGTGTATCTGAATCTCCAGACCCGGGAAGCCGACCTGGTCGTACGCGCCGTCGCAGTAGGCGCAGTGCACGCGCCACTGCTGCTTGAAGCTGCGGGGATCATCGGCGGGGAGCTTCTTCATGAGCGACACGGCCCTCTCGTACTTGGTCAAGTACGCAATGTCCACCAGGTGCGCCGCCGGCCGCACGCGGAGCGGCGAGGACGCCGGCGGCGGCGTGAAGTCGACGGCGACGGTGCCGGCGCTGTACGTCGGGCAGCAGCTGATCTCCGGCGCTGTGTCGGGGTCGGGGAGGTCCACGGGCTCGTGGCAGTGGCCGAGGTCCGGGGCCTGGATTGGCGCCGCGAGCGCGCCGCCGCCGCCCTGCGTGGCCACCATGGCGGCCGCTGCGCCTATGCCAAGGAGCACGTCGCGGCGGTCGAGGCCGCGGCCGCCGCCTCGGCCGGCGCTCGCCCTGCATGACACGCTCCGCAGTTTCCTCCCGTTCGTCTTGCGGTTGCGGTGCAAGAGCAGGTTGTAGTGAAGGGTCTGGAGGTTGCTGATGCACGGCAGCGCCATGCGAGGCGTCACGGATGCACCTCGTGCTACATTGATGCTCTCCATGGCGGCATTCAGCTGTAAACTAGTTCTTGCAGTGGTGTGTGTATTTTATAGGGCAATGCGTGTGTATACGAGAAACTATTAATCTAAACTATTGAGAATAGATCACTCGTTATTTACATCTCATCTAAATGGTTATAAATTTTTTTTAAAAAAAATCAATAAAATAAATTAATATATGATCAATCACTCCATAAACATGCAATACCAAAATTAACTTCTACAGATTGTAATGGAAAAAAAACAAAATTTAACTATGAATATACGTTAACTATTTATAGCTTAATTTTTTTTAACATGTAATGGTTGAATTTTAACTTGCATGCTTATGGAATGATCTATCACATATTAATCTATTTAGTTAAATTTTTTTAATTTTTTTCATAATAATTTGGATGATATGCAAATAACGAAAGAATGCCTGATCCTAAGAATTTAGAATCCACTCTAGTGTGTATACTGTAGTGTAGCGCCCACTTTTTTCTTTCTTACTATGCTTCTATATTTGCAATGGTATTACTAATTACTCCCTCCATTCCATTTTAATCATCCCCTAAGGTTTTTAGGTCTTGACATTACTAATTACTCCTTCCATTCCATTTTAATCATCCCCTAAGGTTTTTATTGACCATTGACACCATTTAAATTCAAAGAACGACGAGTCAATATTTATTTCCTTATTAATTACAACAAGTAGTACGGGTACTAAGGAACAACGTTACGTCATGGGAGTCTATTGACGCTATTCAATCAAAGAACGACTAATGACGCCATTTAATCAAAGAACGACTAGTCAGTAATTATGTCATTATTTATACCGTATTATTCATTAGTTACACATCAAACACTATGGTGACCGAATCGCAGCCGGACCTCGTCACGATCGAGACGACGATCGTCCGGTCGCCGTCGGCGCCGATGTCATCGAGCAAGTTGCCGATGCCGAACCACTAATAGAAAAATCATTTTTTCAGACACGGTGTATTATTTTCGCAAGCGGACATGACCCTTAGAACCAAATTACCGCCTATAAAAATAGAAATCGGGATGAAATTTAATGTCCGCCTGCGACGGCACCTGCGAAAATAGACTTGAACTAGCAAAAATGCCCGTGCGTTGCAACGGGTGAAAAAATTCTAATGATAATATATATTTTTCATGAATAATCATGTCAATGACAATGTTTGTATTTTAATGAGCGGCTTGTATTTTTATAAACGGTGTTTTTTTCTTGCCCAATTTTCTCAAACCATTCAGAAATGGCGCATTTCTTTCTTAAAAGTTGAATGGCGTATTTCTTTCTTAAAAGTTTTTTTCTAGCATGTATTTTTTGCTTTTTTATTTACAACGAAAACCATATTTTTCTCCATTTTTTGCTTTTCTTTTCTCGTGTGTTTTTTTGCCTTTTTTTTGCCAATTATTTTCTCGCGCGTTTTTTTGCTTGTTTTTTTTTCAAATGTTCTTTTTTCTTTTTTTTTCAGTAAGGAGAATATATGACGAAATAAAAGCCGTGTAGTAGGTGGCAAAAACATCGATGGATCATATCCGACTCAGAGCGATTTTTTTAATAGACGGTGTTTTTTTCTTGCACGGTTTTTTAAAACCATTTGTTAAATTGGCGCGTTTTTTCTGACTGTTTTTTCCTCGCATGTTTTCTTTAAAAAAATTACCGACGATGGAAATAATTTTTCTCGCCCGTTTTTTTATTTTTTTTATGGAAGATGGAAAACCTTTTTGGAGTGTTTGTTTTTTTGCACTTTTTCTGACTTTTTTCTCACGCGTTTATTTGAACCGTTTTTATTTTCTCGTGTATTTTATCTTTTTAAATAGTTAGATTATATTAGAGATAGAGAAGAGATATATATCGATTAGAAATCAGACTTTGTTTCGCCCTTTCAATTTTTTTCTCGTGTGCATTTTTTATTTTATACGAACAAGCTTTTTATTTTTTACGAACTATTTTTTTCGCCACTTTCTTAGGGAATCGGACAAACTTTTTTAGATGTATTTTCAGTTTTTTTTTTGCTTTTATAGGAATCAGACTTTTTTTCCGGTTTTTAAAGGAATTGAATCTAGTATTTTTTTTTCACCACTTTTTTTTTGCCTTTTATAGGACTCGGATTTTTTTGGTTCGGATCTACAATTTTTTTTTCGCCACTAAGGGAAAACGGAACTTTTGTTGTTGTTATTTTTCTTTTTTTTTTGTGCAGCTTTCCTTTTTCTTTTTACTAGCAATAGTGCCCGTGCGTTGCAACGGGAGAAACACCGTTTGATAATGTGACACCTTAAAAACCTCAAATCGGTAAAAATCAAGTTTAATTTGATATATTAACAAATAGGTAGAACCGAGACTAATTTGATGAATTAGTATATGATTTAGAATTTATTTTTCGAGTCTACTCAGGAGTTTATCCAACGGGTTTTAATTTAAAAAATCAGACCCACGTTCTTTGATCAAATTAGACATATTCATTTTTATTTTTTTCGCCTTTTTTTACCGCGTCCACATAGTCGGATTTTTTTTGCCCGGTTTTTTCACCCGATTTTTTTCGCCCGATTTCTTTTTTTTTTAATTCGACCGATTCTTTTTTTATTTTTTCGCCCTTTTTTACACAAAATCGGATTCTTTTTTTCGCCTGATTTTTTTTCACGGGTTTTTTTTCGCCCGATTTCGTTTTTTTAGAATCGGACCGATTCTTTTTTTTTTATTTTTTTCGCCTTGTTTTTCACGGAATTGGATTATTTTTTTCGCCCATTTTTTTCCTCCCGGTTTTTTCGCCCGGGATTTTTTTATCGGACCGATCTTTTTTTTTTCTTTTTATCGCCCTTTTTTTACATTTGGTTTTCTTTTTCTTTTTCCGGTTTTTTTTATTGGACCGATCTGGTCTTTTTCTTTTTTATCGCCCTTTTTTTTACGTTTGGTTTTTCTTTTTCTTTTTCTTTTTCTGGTTTTTTTATCGGACCGATCTGGTTTTTTTTATTGCCCCCTATTTTACGTTTGGTTTTTCTTTTTCTGGTTTTTTTAATCGGATATGTTTGGTTTTTTTCTTTTTTTCGTCCACTTTTTTTACGGACGATGGAAGCACCTCTTATTTTTTAAGTAGTAGAGATGCACGTTTCTGTTTTTGTTCTCTCTCTTTTATTATTATTTTTAACAAACACGGCCTCAAGTACCTTATTGCAGGATTATAGGGACTCAAATGTAAATATAAAAATTACAGGGACTCAAAAGCAAAAGTACAAACCCAAAAATTGAAATCATATAAAAATGGAATGCTATCGACCTGTAGGTTCCGTTTATTAAACAGATCTTCAATCCGACACATCATTTTGTTTCACCAAGATCTGTGAGATATCACGGTATAGATTGAGAATCGGATCTATAGTCGGAGTTTTTTTTCCGTTTATGAGAGGGAATCGGATAGAAGTCGGACTTTTTATTTTATTTTTTTTAGCTTTTTTTTACGGACGAAGAAAACATCTTTTATTATTTTTTAAGTGTAGAGATAGAGATAGACAAGTAGAGATAGAGATAGAGATTTTTTTTCACTTTTTTTTTGCACGGAATCGGATTTTTTTTTGGGATCGGGCAGTTCCGTTTTTTTTCTCGCTCGTCCGGTTTTCTTGGGGCGGTTTTTTGTCGCCCTTTTTTTCACGGAATCGGACTTTTTTTTTGCCTTTTTTTATCGGACAGTTACGGTTTTTTTCACCGGTTTTTCGCCCTTTTTTTTTCACAGAATCGGATTATTTTTTCGCCGGACAGTTACGGTTTTTCCGTCCGGTTTTTTTCTCTCTCGTCCGGTTTTTTCGCTGGGTTTTTTCGGACGATGGAAGCATCTCTTATTTTTTAAGTAGTAGAGATAGAGATATAAATAGACTTGCGGGCCGTAATTTTTTTCTAAGTCCTCACACATCTCCTCCTTTCCCCTCCCCTCACTTCTACACTCCCCGACGGCGGCAGGCGGTGGCGGCGAAGGGCGGCAGCGGCGAGGAGGCGAGGCGGCGCGGCCAAGGAGGGCGACGGAGGAGGGCGGCATGGCCCGGCCCGTCCCTCCCAGATCTAGAGGGGCGCAGGGGGGGAGGGGGGAGCGCGGCGGCCGGTGGCGGCGGAGGGCGACATCGGCGAGGAGGCGCGGCTCCCAGCCACGACAGCAGCTCCCCTGCCCCCTCCCTCCCAGATCTGGCCGGAGGAGGGAGGGGAGAGGCCGGCGAGGGCGGCGGTGACGACAGCGCGGGCTGGGCGGCGACGGCGGCTCCCCTCCCCCTCCCTCCCAGATCTGGCCGGAGGAGGGAGGGGGGAGGCTGGCGAGGGCAGCGATGGCGCGGGCCGGGCGGCGGCGGCGGCTACCCCCCTCCCTCCTAGATCTGGCCGGAGGAGAGAGGGGGGAGGCCAACAGCGACAACGATGGCGTGGAGCGGCGACGGCGCTGGCCGGGCGGCGGCGACGGCTCCCTTCCCCCCTCCCTCCGAGATCTGGCCGGAGGAGGGGGGGGAGGCCGGCGGCGGCTCCCGGCGTGGGCCGGCGATTTTTTTTTTTCGTCCCTTCCATTTTCGCAGGCGGGCTGTTGCCCCAACTGCAAAAATCGATGATTTTCGCAGTCGTTGTGGTGTAGGCGGACCTCTCTCCCATCTATAAAAATTAGTTTTGGCCACTGCGAAAATTAGTTTTATAGTAGTGACCTCGCCACCGTCTTCCTCGGAGAACGCATCCTCTCGTCGTGGTGGACACTGTCTGCGTTAGCACGACGCTCCCGGTGCACGTACTCGCCGCCGCGATGTTCCCGCTCTCGCTGGCGCGTTCAACACGAACACGTCGAACTTAATGTACGTGGAGTGGTCGGCTGACCTCGATCCCCTCGATGACAAGCACCTCCTCCTCGGCGTCCTTCTCCTTGCGGCTCCTCGACGTCTTGGGCCTCATCACTGCCACCCGCACGGTCTTGTCCAGATTCCCCGGCAGGCGCCTGTCGTGGGCGCCGGTGTGGACAGCTGGCGTTGATCAGCCACGGGAGACCCACATCCTAGTACGTGAAGCGCAGCGCGCCGCGTCGAGGGAGTCGCGGACGCAGATGAGGCGGGCATCCTCGTTGTAAAAGTGGAAGCTCGCGTCGAGCACGGTGAAGTTGGTGTTGCCGGGGAAGAGAAGGCCACGGCGGATGTACCACAGGCGCTCGATTTTTTTAAAGGAAGGCAAGGGCTGCCAAATCTATCTTCTATCAGTCAATCTGAAAGACATGGGCGCCGCTGAAGTGCAAGTTCTTCTCTTAGCTAGTCACGTAAAATAGAGTATGGACGGCAGACAGGCTAGAAAAAAGAGGATGGCAAAACCAAAAGATTTGCCTACTTTGCTACAATGTTGATGAATCGGCCCTGTACCTCCTGGCCAAATGTGACTCACAGAGAGGATATGGGCAGAAATGCAGAGATGGACCGGGACTGACCTTCAGATGAACAACTGGCATAGCTATCACTCAGTCGAGTAATGGTGGACACTTGTAACGAAATCTCCAAACACTCCACGCAAACCTCTCAGGACCCTGGTGATTTTAATCTCGTGGGAAATCTGGTGCGAAAGGAACGCAAGAATCTTCCGCAACAATGCATATTCGCTATCCTCAATCCTAGCAAAGATCAAGGAGGAAGAGAGAGCATGGGTCAAAGCAGGGGCTTCTATCCTGCAGGAGTTTGAAATTTTGGGAGATATCACTTAATCTCTGCCTTTTGCCTCTCCTTTTGCAGGTTATTTGTTTCGTTTTTTTCATCTAACCCTGTAGCTCTTTTGAGCAAAGGCCGGGATATTATATTCCATTATCTAAAAAAATCTAACCATGTATATATCTCAATATAATTTTCTCCTGCTCTATTAATACCACAGGCGTTCGATGTTGCCGTGGTGCGCGAAGAAAACCGGGTCGCGTGCCGCCGAGTAAGGTGCGCGCCCATGTCCTCGTCGTTCGGCTGCCTCTGATCGCCGGTCCATTGGTGGACGGGGCCGTGCGGCACATGCTCGAGTGCTCAACGGTGCCCAGCCTCGGTTCCGGCTGGTCGCCGGCATGGTACGGTACGGCTGCCCCATGAACAGCTCCGTCTTCCTTGCTCCCGAAATCATCTGATACACATCATAATTATTTTGTTCGTATTAAACAATTTGATCTTACGTACACATGATTACGTAATTATAGGTTGATTATTTTGGAATTTGCCGTGCATGGTTTTCATTAGCCAGTTTAGTTCGTGACTTCGTGTGTGATCACTGGAAAATAATAATCTCTGTGCATACGGGCCCGTNCCCCCCCCCCCCCACCCACCACCGTNCCCAACATGTCAGACATTTCTTCTTCGCCGTTTCTCTATTCCTGTTTTGCGAGCCCACCGTCGCTCTCTCGTCCGCCGCGTCTGTCCGCAGCTGGGAGCCGTCTCCCGTCCGCTGTCGCTCGTATCCAAATGCCCGAGGGATCCGCCGACCACGGCCGCTNCNATTTTTCTCGCGCGCAGGATNCACCGACGCTGTCTGCCGTGAATGTGTCTCCTGTCCTGGCCGTTACCATCCCGAGGTCATCAACAGTGGATTGCTTCAGGAACAAAGAACTAGTTTCAAATGTATGCTCTCTCTCTGTTGGCTTCCTTAGGATTGATCCTTTAAAGAAAGGACTTCAGATGTATGATTATTCCATCGTCGTAACTGTACATATTGTTATCGTTATGTTGTTGTCAAATTCTTGGTTAGACCACATTTATAGAAAAAAAAAACTAACAACATCTACAACACGGAATTAGTCCCATTGAATTTAATATTGAATAAATTTTGATGCAATGTTTGTTTATACTACCTCCATCCCAAAATAAGTGCAGTTGTGGGTATCCGTGTCTAACGTTTGACCGTCCGTTTTATTTGAAAAGTTTATAAAAAAACAAAAAAAATGTTAGTACTATTCGTGTTTTATCATCTAATAACAACAAAAAATACTAATAAAAAAATTAAATAAGACGAACAGTCAAACGTTGTTGATCATTGAATATAAATAGTGTAAGACTACACATTTTAGAATGGAGAGAGTATTTTTCTGTAAACTTTGATCAAATATAAAAATGTTCATAGGGGTGAGTGTGTGCACGTTGTGAGCGCCTGCGTTTGTACTGTGTTTCTAAAAAAATTGTTTGATAAAAAATCAAACGATTTTTAATATGAAACGGTTGGAGTAGGTCACATGACTGCGACTGGATGAATGACTAGCGGTTGGCGTCGTTCCGCTGTCCCCCAGCGGAAAATATTGATGGCTGACAAAACGGCGACAGCGAAGAACGAGTGACCGTCGTCTTTGCATCAGCGTTGATCAGATACAAACGTGGTACGGTGGTCGGTGGTAGCCTGGTAGGTGTGCTCTTCTGCAGCGTTGTAGAATTTGCGCTGCCCTGATGGCTAGTTTGGGCCTCAATTTGGCCCTTCCACATGTATAGGCCGGGAGATTGAACTAAAATTTTGGCCTATACACATGTATTGAGGCCCACCAAAACGAGGCCTGTCTGCGCTTTGGGATGAGAGCTTTGCCCACTGAACACAGTGGGCCGAGTATTGCTGATCAGTGGATTGTGCTGGGCCGATCCGGGCCGTCATCGAATACGTCAATTTAAAATGTTTTGGGATTGTTATTGCTAGGATGGAGTTGTCGTGTCTTTATCGACAAAGACTTTAAAATAAAAAAAACGATCTAAATAAAGTTATAAACATTATGCATCTTGAGTGCTTATTGGAAAAGGACAGCTGAACATTTTCTCGGCGTATTGATCTCATGTTGTTGCTAATATAAAGGAAAAAAGAATTCGTATTACTGCTTGTACTCGATATAAATTTCATAAAAACCTTATACATTACTTAGTACTATGTTCGTTTCAGATTACGAGACGTTTTTACAAATCAAACTGTTTTAAGTTTAACTAAGTTTGTAGAAAAAATAGTAACATTTTTTAACTCAAGACAAATTTATTAAGAAAATATATTCAATTATTGATTTGATGAAACTAATTTAGTATTATAAAGAGGGTGTGATCGGTACCCTCTTTTCCCAACCCCTCTCTCTCGTTTTCCGCACGCACGCTTTTCAAACTACTAAACGGTACGTTTTTTTTGCAAAAAGTTTATATACGAAAGTTGCTTAAAAATTCAAATTAATCTTTTTTTTTAAAAAAAAATAGCTAATACTTAATTAATCACATGCTAATAGATCGTTTCGTTTTTCGTGCGGAAAGGATTAGTTCCCATCCAAACACAACCTTAGTCAAACTTGAAACAGTTTAATATTGACTAAAGTCAAAATATTTTATAACCTGACACAGAGGGAGTAGCTAATATAAAGGAAAAACAACTCGTATATTACTGCTTGTACTCGATGTAAATTTCATAACGACCTTATACATTACTACCTCGAAACATTGTTCATGAATTAACGTAAGTCACAATATTATTCTCTTAAGGATTACAGAAGCCTAAGTTTTCTTGGAGGAAACGTAGAGGAGTTTTTAATCAAGGTTTCCTTTTCGTTACGTTTCGTGCGCAGCGCGTCCAAGTCGTATAACCTTTTCGTTACTTAAAAACCAACGCAACCCCACACCTTTTCTCCTACCCACCACCCGTCTCCGCAACCCACACATCTCCATTGCGCCAAGGAAGAAGAAACCCTCCCCCTCCCTCTCCCCAATCCAATCCAATCCAATCCGGCGAGTCGCGTGAGTTTCCGCTCCCCTCTTCCGTCGATTCGGCATCGGGTTCGCCGATCAGGGGGGCTTCCTTGTCCGATTTGGTGGTTGATTCGTGTTTTTGCTCGTGTTCTCCAGGACCAGCTCAGTCTCTCGTAAGGGTTTGATCGAGTTGTTGTGTTTCGTTGCGCGATTGGCTTCGATCGGTGTGTTTCTGGTGGTTAATTTTTTGGGGGGCGCTGATTTGGTGATTGTGTGCAGGAAGGAGCGCCATGGCCAAGAGCTCGTTCAAGCTGGACCACACGCTCGGTCGGTTTGTTTTCTTATCGTGTTCCTCTTTTTATTTTTTCCTATATGTGCTTTAGTAGTGTGGCTGCGATGATTGCGTGTTGGGTTTATTTGTTCGATAATTGATTGAATGTGTGCGAAGACGAGAGAAAGAGACACAGGAATATGTTTTTTCCCCCGGTTTAAGGGGATGGCTTACCAAAACATCTGAATGTGTGTGGTAGCAACTGTTTATTGAATTGTGCATGTTCTGTGCGAATCTGGGAGTAGGAGTAGGTTGCGATTGCTACAAAGTTGTGTGACTGATTTGAATTTGGTAGTAATAATAGTAGTACATGCCTTTTCATAATGGGAATAGTAGGTTCTGTGCGGATGGATAGAGGGATGGTTAATGGGGAAAATATGTCATCATTACTGATGAATCAAATTATAAAGAGCCTCAATGTGTCTATCTGAATTTCTGATACACCAGTTTTAACTATTATGTAAGGCTGTAAAACCCAATATCTCTAGTATTGTAGACTATAAATTAACAGTTGACCTGACAATCCAGCATCATTAGCTGATTCTTTGATTTGTTTTTAAGACTTATGTGGTCTTGTTCCTTTTCTGATGGATCGTATAAGGAATAGACTTTCCAATTCAATCACCCAACACTTTATGCTTGAGAACATGGTTTTGGTAGTCTATTGCATGTTTAGGGGTTGCTGTAAATCCTGCCCAATCTTCTGTGAAAGGGCCCTGATGTTTAGTATCATGCTTTTTTTCACTGAGTTATTTCTTCCTGTCTAATTTTTTATCTTTTACCTTTTGTGCTTGAACAATATTTAAGTTGATTAATGTGTGTGCCAACATGATAGCATAGATTCCTTTTTTGAGAAATAGACAGCATAAGTATTGCACTTTTTTGGTTGCCCTTTCTTGTAATCACTCTGTTATTATAGTTTTCTCTACAGTGATTTGAAATCTCTGATTTCTCGTTCTCCATCTTCTACAACCTTGATTTATGTATACATTTTAGAGATGTTTCAGCCTTTTAGTCAGTTCATAATAACCAAAATCTTGTTCTTCTTGTGCATGTATTTCAGAGAGGAGGCAGGCTGAGGCTAACCGTATCAGAGAAAAGTACAGTGACAGAATTCCTGTAAGCTTGCTCTTCATATTGCTCAGTTATGTTGTTTCCTTCATTGTGGTTTTTTTGCTCTAATTTGTTACATATCTAATGTAATGTAGGTGATTGTTGAGAAAGCTGAAAGAAGTGATATTCCTGACATCGACAAGAAAAAGTCAGTTTCCAAGCATTTACGAAACCATAGCATTTAGATTTTTATTTAGTTAGTCTATTGAACCGCTAAAGGAAGGAATATTGTCTTTAATTGCTATCAAGTAAATGCTAGTGGAGGACTTCAGGTGTTCAGATGATAGCAACTAGTAGCTCTTGCCATTCATTTATCCTTATCTAGGACTGCATTGATGCAATGGTATTGCTTGTGGGTCCTTTGGGGGCATATTTCATTTTATTATAATTGTTTCAAGGACTTAAAGTCATGATTAACGGTGTCCTATAAACTTTTTTGGTACTAGCAGTACAGCATCATTACAGTACTTGCATCACATTAAATCCTTTATGCTCTTTTTAGTTAAACATGTAGTAGTATTTACTATTTATCACTGTAAAGTCCTAACTCTATGTTCCAAAAGCAGCTGACTGTGTTTCAATTTATTATTGCAAGGATGCCGGTATGGCTATGGCATTCAAGCTCGAAACTTTTGTTGCTCTGAAACTTTAATACATGTTACATCAAGTATCAATCAATATTACCGTATCATCCTTAGTAGCTTATGATTTTCTAATATAGGTACCTGGTCCCTGCTGATCTTACCGTTGGGCAGTTTGTCTATGTTGTTCGGAAGCGGATCAAGCTCAGTCCTGAGAAAGCAATCTTCATCTTTGTGAAGAATACTCTTCCACCAACAGGTCTGAAAATCCCTTGAATCATTTTCCTTTGAAAACACAAGGACTTTGGTCGAATAGTATACTACTGCATGGTTTATGATCCCAGTATCTCAAAGAACCTGCATGGTTCATGTTATCTCATTTCATCACTTTGTTGGATTTGCAGCTGCTCTGATGTCCGCAATTTACGAGGAGAACAAGGATGAGGATGGGTTCCTCTACATGACCTACAGTGGCGAGAACACCTTTGGGCTGCTCTAGGCGCGGCAGCAATATCGCTCTCAACTCCTGTAAATAAGACTTGCCAAACAAGTGTATATTCTTTGCTTACCTCGTGGCAAATCTTTAAACTCTAATAGTAGTAATGCCAAGATCCTCTCAGTTGTTCTGAACATATATACGCTGCTTGATAATACTCCCAAGTAATTGTGGCTCTGGTGAATGTGTTCTCTTGTGGTCTCTTAACTTTTACCGTTGCTGTGACGAGGTCAATCTAGATCTCAGTGTGTCATTAATCTGGTTGCTGTTGCCGCTTTATTGCCTGCCTGCCTGGCTCTACCGACAGCAGCAGCAGCTGCTGATGGAAAAGGTCGCCGGCACGAGGTCCTTAAATTTACTGCGTTTGGGTTCTGTTGCTGGTCGCAGAGCCTGGATGGTGGTTCTTCATCCTGGCACTGGCATTCAATGTGTGCAGTGTCAGGATGAAGCTGCGCCGCGAGCAGGGAATCCTGATTGTTTTTTCCTGGGGTTTTGTAGGGATCAATCTGCTGCATCGATCTTATTTTTGGTTGCTCTTGCCTGTGGCCTGGGATGATGGATTAATATTGGAATGTATATTAGCTAGCTGCTGTGTGCTTGATTTGTTGGCCAAGTAGAAGCAGAAGAGAACAATGCAGGAAGCGATTCAATTTACAACCAACTGTGTTTTGGTCAAGTTGGGTGGAGTGCAAAATTGTGCTTGTTTCATTGTTAACCTTTTTTCTCTTTTTCTTTTCTTTTTTTTTTTGGCTTCCAAGCTCGTGAATTGGGCAAGTCATGTCCGTTGTAGCTTTTTTTTTTTTTTTTTTTTTTTTTTGAAAACAATGTCCGTTGTAGCTTATCAAACATCAATGAGGTGTGTTCCATTTTCACAAGAAACTCACCCATCAATGGAAGCCTAGGACCCTAGGTCCTACCGATAAGCTAAGAATAATGTGAGAGCCGAATCCTTTTCCTTACCAACCCCAGACTATTAGTTGTCACTTTAGTAGTAATTAAGAGTAAGCAAGCCAGAATCAGAAAACTTAAATTAAAGCTGGCTGGGGCTTGCAAGATCATTCATTCATGCTAAGCATGATGTCTGCGTGCTACACATGCGTTCGTACGTATATATATGGACTGCAGATCATTCATTGCCGCTACTCCAGTTCTAAACGTACACGATGCATGGCCAGTACGTATACAGTATACTGTATACTGCATTTATGAACGTAGCGCTGCATTGCTAGCTAAAGCTCGCAATCACTGAAAGCGCCATCACGAAAAAACTACAGCTACTTCACTGTAGACATGTATTCTTTCAGAAAAAAAAAGAGATAATTAATCATATTTCGCCCGTGAGATTGCCAGCGATAAAGGTTCATATGCATGATGAACTGATTCCCTTTGTCGATCCACATGCCTAAAGAACATTATGAGAATTATCTATGCACAGATATCGCTGACGACGAAAAATTGTTTCAGACCAAATCGCCATTGGTTTGGCCACTGGATCGATCAATCTCCCCGTATCATTGCCATTTTGACTCGATTATCGTTGTCGACATGGCCATATATGCAGAGACATCAAACTCATATATATGTCGTGCATGCCTGCCTGCCTGCCGTTTACATAATTAATTGTACTGCGTGTTGTTGTTGGCAGCAGCAGCAGCCCATGGCGTCACGCAACACGCACCGGCCAAACACTTCATCAATTCACGGATGATGGATGCACATATGGTGGTCGTCGTATACTCCGATCCTGACTACACGCCCGCCTTCATCGATCGCTTCAAGAATTTAACGGCAATTAATTTCCCTTTTCAAGCATTCTACTACTAGTACGTACTACGCAGAATCACTGAGATCTGATCGATCAGTTCTTCTTCTTCTAGCTGCTGCAGCAGCACAGCTCATCAGAGATGATCAGAATTCAGAAGACATTGGTCGTCGTCGTCGTCGTCAACGACGACGTAGTACAAAGACTAGCCGGTTCCTTGGAAGCCAGCCATTGCCGGCAAACGACGCATCACACGGCACTACTCCTAGCTAGCCATTGGCGTCACGCGAACCTGACGCAACATAAGAAGCGATCGAGAGATGGATGCATGGTATGCGTAGAGAAAGAGAGAGAGAGAGAAGGCTTGGGGGTGGCAATGGCAATATGGCATGCAGATGCAGGTTGCAGCTGCAGGGAGAGGGGGGGAGGCAAACATCCCATGCCATGCCTGCATAGGCTGTAGACGGGATGGGAAATCACTGCAGTGCATTCAAGCCAGCCACGCCCCCACACCGCTGCTGCTGCTGCTGCTGCTGCCACTGCCGCCTATTGGAATCGATCGAATCGTCGTTAATGTCGACGTCCACATCGATCGATCGTCTCTCGCTCGAGGCATCTCCTAGCGTGACGACCTCCTCTAGCGTAGTACTACTTGTACTGTGCTGCTTCTCTCACCTTGTTCAAATTCATTGCGTCTCATAAATGCTCCAACCTCCTCTTTGTTTGGTTGTTGGCCCATTCAATTCGTTTTCCCAACAATGCCGTTGCTGTTCCAACTCGCCCCCCCTTCCTCGGCTCCTCCTCCTATATGTCATCACTCACGTTGTAGCGGCTAGCCATGTTGTGCTTTTGCTCCTAGCTAAGCTCTCCTCGTCTTCTTCTTCTTCTTCTTCTTCTTCTCATCTACAACTACCTCTCCCTCACTTTTGCATTGCCTCCAAGAAGCCATATTAAAGGATCCTACGACTCCTTCCTCTCCCTCCTGCTCCTCCTCTTCTCATCTCCTTCACTTCTGCTTCTGCATGAAACCAAGAAAAAAAAACTAGTTGCTTACTTGCTTTGCATAGTTAGCTAGCTGTTGTGTTTCTCTGATCCCATGTCCTCATGAACTCTTGTTTGATCCTAGTGAGGTGAGAGTACTTGAGAGGGAGTGTATTGATTGGATTGCTGTTTTTATCTCTGATGATTTGCCTTGTTTTGCTGATCTGAATGCTGATCGTTGGGGGATTGTTCTGCTCTCTATGTGGGAACGGGATATTGGTGCGGTTCAATCAGAAAGCTTGTGCTCCGAAGGCGAGGGGCTCCACTCTTTGATTGAGCCGTGCCAATATCACGTCGCCTTTGCAGCTGCTCGTTTGTTTATGTAAGGATGTTTTTTTCATTATTTCTTTTAATCCGTTTAGATCTTTCCCTGTCAGGTTTATGGTTTTGTACTCGTTTATTATGAGTTCAACAATGTGATAGAGACCTTCTTTTTCTGGTTTTCAGAGGAACTGATGCTAGATGTTTATGAACTGTTTTCTATCCATGTACTGTTAGTACGTAGGAGTAAATTAAGAAACTGTTGCTGTTACGCATGTGCTCATCCTTCTCTGATTTGTTAATTTGATACTCCCTCTTGTCAGATAAGTTAGTTCTTGATTTCATGCTACTAGCAAACTGCAGCCTCTCAGACTAAGTTCTGTTGACATGATTCATTTTAAAGCTTGTCGATCCGTCATTAGTTATTCAGATTTTACAGTCGCATAATTTTTCTAGTGTTTACATGCATGGTGTGGCTGAAAAGAAGTGTAGTTCAGTAATATCTGATTACATTCTTCAGGTATATCTGATGTGATATTTAGGTACTTCCTCTGTTTCACAATGTAAGATTTGATTTTCTAGCATTCCCCATATTCATTTAGATGTTAATGAATCTAGACATATGTATGTGTTTGATTCATTAATATCTATATGTATGTGGACAATGCTAGAAAGTTTTACATTGTAAAACGGAGGGAATAGCAATGTCGATGCAGTATATATACCCCTATCTGATTATACGATGAAATTGAGGAATAACCTTGTGGCCCTGTAGTTTATTATATTTCCCACTTCCATCCAATTCATACGACAAAGTTGTTGCTGCTTTTCCAGCTGCTTTTTTGGCACAAAAGCGCAGTGAACACACTTTAAACTTAGCTAAGCTCTCAGTGTAGCAATCGTCTCATGCGGAACGGCATAAAAGGCAATGTTGAGAGTGCACGTAAGATCGATTAGAAGGATCAAAAGATAGTAGTAGAGACAAAAGAGTGCATGACCATTGTTCTGTGTGCTACATAGTATTTGCAGTGTCTGAACTTGAAAAGCTGATCACAAGTGCCCAAAGGGAGACAGACAGACAGATCCACATCGATCGCAAGTCTTTGCCTACGATAAAGATCTTAGTAAGCTTGGAAGAGAGCTTGCAGAAAGAGCATCTCAAAAGGACGTACAATTGGAGCAAGCGAGCTTTTCATGTCGCCATCTTTTTCTGACCTTCATTTGTAAAGAAGTACTGTAATTTTCTAGTGTAATAATGACAATGCAAATCCCATTATATAGATCAGATGCTTCTTGTTTATCTTTGCCGGTGCTTGCAGTAAAATCCTATGCTGTTTACCACCACTTTCCACACATTGCCGTACTACTGTATCCCTGCCTGCTGGGGACCAAAGAAGCTGATGTGGTGGCCAAGAACTCAAGACTACTCTGTCAGGTAAGTACAGGCACATGTACTATTCGCTCATGGTCGTGGACGTAGAGAGAATGCAGATTCAGACTGATTATTATTAGTAGTAAAGCTTTGCCATAGAATGATAGAAATCAACACTTTCACAGCATGACAATCATTGGCCAGTAATAGTGGCAAATGTTTTTACTCTGAACATAAATTGTATTGTTAATATCCAAATTTGACTCCTAGAGTATGAAAAAGAAACTACAGCCAAATTCAAAAACAACCCAGACTTGCCACGCGAAGGCCGGTCTGATCGCAGTCATCGGGCTGGTCAGACCGATGACAGGGGGACGATCTGATCGGCGGCATGTAGCTAGTCAGACCGGCAGAGTCCGACTCGAGTCCGATTTGTTGGTTCTCGGGTTTCTGCTAATGCCTGAGATTTTAGAGTTTTGATTGATTTCTACACCTAATTGGATGTGAAAAAGACCCTGGGAAGTAAGTCCACCCCTCCTATATAAATATAAGGGGGTTAAGGTCGATTGAAATAACAATCAATCAATCGTCAAAATCAATTTATTTATCCAAACCCTCTATATTCTACATCTCCCTCTTTCTTGCTACCTATCCCAAAGTCTATTCTCCTCAAATCCCCTAATTGCTCGTTGTCTCTCATCTCTACGACGTTAGAGGGCGTCCTAGCTAGCCTGCCGAGTTTAGGACAAACCAATGCACGTTCACC